TCAATACACTATATTTGAGCACACATCGGCATTAAAAAACCTAAATTATAATGTTAAGTAATTTAATGTTCTACATATGGCATAATGTTTTTGGATCCTGTCCATGTCATTTCCTATCTCAGAACTGAGCTTACTGAGCCGCAGCATTCATCTTGAGTGTTGGCACTGCCCATGCACAATCCACAAATGTAGACTAACAAATAAAGAAATCATTTATGATCAACAGGCTTGTTGTAAGAACATTCAGCCATCCGCTGCAGGCTTTGATGTGAGAACAGGGATTGATGGGATTTTAGAAACTGTATTGTGGTGCAGATGTACAGAACTGTACTGGTAAAACTGGGTCCCCACTTTGACTTCCACTAATGAACATAACATTCCTTATGTCTGTAACTGTATATTATATCAAACGTGTTTATTAATAATTTTAAGTCATGTTCAGCACATCTGGAGCCTGATTTAAAATTTAGAGAGACCATACGTGACTTTTGAGATATTAGGCTTTGTTTAACATTATTAATCAAAAGTATATTTATATAAGACTAGCTCTTTATGAATAAATTGTAAAAATTTTCAAGCACCTACCCTGTGAGGCTTGTAAATCATTTGGCTCATAAAGATATGCGCAAGTATTTAAAACTCAGTTTGTTGATGTTTTTATATTGGCATTCATTGAAAGTAAGCAGCCCCGAAAGCCACAGGTGAGCATGACGTCTTGGCTCATATTCAGCTCTTACACTAAGGGAAAACCTAGTAACCATCTGTCTGCATTTAACGAAAAGCATTCCACCGCCTTTTGAATTAATGAAATATTACACTGCAATGTTCAAGAATGTCTTTAGACAGGAATTATGCACCAATGGACCTCTTTTGGCTTCCAGGGACGGAGAATCATCGTTTCAGAAACAAAGGAAATCCAACTCTAACTTTCATGTCTTCATGTGCTAGAATTATTCTTTCTCAGCTTGGCAAATTTAAATTTGGAAACACTTTAATCTTCATTATAATTTCAACAATTGCTATTATAAATCAAAAATAATATTTGTAATTTAATCAGAGCTATATTTTGTTGGCACAAAAAACAATGAGGGATTCTGAATTAATCTCAGTTAGGATGCTAGTATCAAACCTGAACAGGTCGATTCATACTAAATACAATAAAAACACCCTAATTTACATAACCAAGTCAAATAAATATAAGCCTACATAGTACAGGGAGTCGAATCGATTAATCACTTTTGTGAATCTGTTCATTTACATGAACAGTCTGAACGAATCAATTCACTAGAATGAATTGGACTTTACAACATGAGAGAGAGAGGATCATTTGGGATGAATCAATTCACTAAACTTCTCTACATATGAGAGAGGGGATTCACTAAAATGAATCCAACATAAGAGAGAAAGAGAGAGACACCGTTTGCTCAAATATGAAAACAAAATTGGCTAACTCTGTATGTGTGATTATTAAAAAAATAATAAGCTAAAATAATACACAGCAAGTTAGCATTCATGTCATTGAAATAAAAACTACCCATCTATGTGCTTTGTTGTCCAGATAAGGCTTTTCTTGCATTGGGAACAGCAGCTTGCGCTCCAGCTTTGCTGCTCTGAGGGGAGCACAGTGGAATTTGGTGCATTTCCCCTTTTCGTGCACTGGACTTCACTCGCTGCCAACTCTGGGCTCCATTTCACCTCCACATGTGTTCTTCCCTCAGGGGTCACCATGACAGCGAGCAGATCGATAATAAAAAAAAACAAAAATGGGAGCCTGTGAACACGGAGGGTAGAGTATAATATTAACATACATTGAAGAATTGCTGACGAATCACAGGCTGTTATGACAGCTCCAAACAAACCCGGGGACAACTGAGGGACAGAGTGATGACTGGGTAAGACAGGGAGGGGCCAGTTAATGACACCCCACCCAAAAACCCCTCTGACTCATGCATTCTGTCATAAATTGTTCTTTAAACATGTAAGGCTGCACACAAATTCAGAAAGGTCAATGTCTGAGAGCACTAGTGAAAATGCTTCTATTTTGCAGTTACAAAAATAATTTGTATATATTTGTATATATCGATATATATTTTTTTAATGATAAATAATATTATGAACATAACAATTTTTTAAGTAATTAAAGTAATTGAGTAGTGACCAAAAATAGTGCAGAATATTAAATATTTCTTTTTAATTTTATATATTTAAATTAAGTTTCCTTTTCTCCTCAATTTCTTTTGTTTTTAATTTCTCTTAAACTTAAAACCTCCTATTTATCTCCAGGTTTAAAATATAAAAGGGGTCTCAGATGTTTGTACATGCATTTTAAGACTTGAATGTGCTTTTACTTTTTATATGTGCTTATTGCCTGAACTTGTACAAGATTTTTTCTGCAATCTAAGGTTGATGATACACGGGGCATCTTTTTGAGCAATGTCGCCGGGCAACTTTGGGCAATGTTGCTGTCAATGGGCAACCAGGTGAGACACAGGGCCCATGACTGATTTAAAGTATCCAGATAGAAATGTGTTACCCATTCTCAATGGGAAAGTCCCCAAGCAACATTGCTCAAAAAAAGTTGTCCGGCAAAATTGCTCAAAAAGTTGCCCCATGTATCATCAGCCTAAGAAAACTCAAATTCAAAAAGCCGAAAAAAAAAATGGCAGAATGTACTGTGTTAATACGAAGGGATTTTCTGTATGGATTTTTCACAGGTGTTTTGAATTACACTCTGCATTGCCTTGTGTTTTAGCATTGAAGGAAATGTCTGAAAACTTAACGGTAAGGCTACTGGTAATTTTCTGCCAGGACATTATCCATTTTTCTGCCATTTTTTTTTCTTATACAGCGTGAGCTTACCTCCATAGTCAGAAAAGTGCATTTCCTCATACTGGAAGCTAATAAACTGACAATAAATTGGTTGTCTGAAATAATTATTAGGAAGTCGAATGAAATTGACTTGTAAAACCGTTTCCCTGTGAATCTAATGGTGTGCTTTAACAAATCATGGCCACAAGGTGGCCTTCAAATGCTCAGAAAACTGCAGCAAGCATGGCTTTTAGATGGATGTGGGTGGCAGAGGTACCATGTGTATTTCGTGACCCCAAAACATTTGACAACAATTTGTTTATTTCCATGTCGTGTGGGTAAATTTTGAAGGTTGGGCTTGTTTGGTAAATGAACTAACACATAATTATGCTTTTCAAGTAAAGTGTTGCTCCCATAGCAAAAATTGTTTCCTTGCTTGCCAAAAAGAGAAACAGAGAGCCAAAATATGCTAAAATCTCTTTTCTCAGTGTTCAACTGACTCATGTGAAGCAACAATCTGCAATTATCTTAGAAATAGGTTAATAACACCTTTAAACATCTGAGGTTTTAGTAAAAAAAGATGTGCCACATGTGACCTGAACCAAACTCTTTAACTCACCTCTACAACCATACCAATAACTGTATACTTTGTTGATATCCTGTAGCTATGTGAGCTATTCCATAATTTTTCTCCCTTCTTTTTTACTTACTTGTCTTTCTTTTCTCCCCTGTTCATGAGATGAGAGAGAGAGAGAGAGAGAGGAGTTACTTCATTCTGTTCCTTTAGTTATGTAACCAGGATGTAACTCAACAGTTTTGATGTGCCACATGTGACCTGAACCAAACTCTTTAACTCACCTCTACAACCATACCAATAACTGTATACTTTGTTGATATCCTGTAGCTATGTGAGCTATTCCATAATTTTTCTCCCTTCTTTTTTACTTACTTGTCTTTCTTTTCTCCCCTGTTCATGAGATGAGAGAGAGAGAGAGAGAGAGAGGAGTTACTTCATTCTGTTCCTTTAGTTATGTAACCAGGATGTAACTCAACAGTTTCCCTTAAATAATTCATGCTTACATATGGATGTCTTTTTTAAGCTTTTGTCCTTAATTCATTCTCAAAATACTGCCAGAAATGACCAACTGTGTTAAATGTATCTACGCCTTTATTTAGCACAGCCATATAGAGAGCTGGTTCTGAAGCTGCTTTTCCAGTCCAGACTGTACTTTTTAAAAATAAATGGCAAATAAAAGAATAAAGGAAAAGGTTTTTTTTGCCTGATGACGATGTAAGACTTATTTTTTTACTCTTTCTGAATTGTATTGTCAATACAGTGTATCCTACCTCCTTTAAACATGACAGCAACAACCAGAATTAAATCTGTGGTTTAAGTGGCCTTATTGGGCTGGACATAATAAATGACAATCCGCTCAACCAATGGCGCGACTTTGGGTCGAACTATCTGTTTTTCTGACCAATGGCAGACCGTGTGTTGGAAACCTGTTTGAAAACAGTCTTGCGATTGTGTTTTCGGTGACGCTAAAAAATGACATAGGCTACTATGCGAATCCTATTGTATAGTTTAATTTTATTTTAAAACAAATAAAGAAACTGCTTCTAATAGATTTAGGTTATGTTTTAGTTAAATAATAACTGTAGTAACTTTTATGGAAGAAACTAGTTGTCATGGTAAATTTTATAGATAGCCTACTGGTTTGCCAATAGCGTCGTTTTCTGACCAATGGCAGACCGTGTGTTGGAAACCTGTTTGAAAACAGTCTTGCGATTGTGTTTTCGGTGACGCTAAAAAAGGACATAGGCTACTATGCGAATCCTATTGTATAGTTTAATTTTATTTGAAAACAAATAAAGAAACTGCTTCTAATAGATTTAGGTTATGTTTTAGTTAAATAATAACTGTAGTAACTTTTATGGAAGAAACTAGTTGTCATGGTAAATTTTATAGATAGCCTACTGGTTCGCCAATAGCGTCGTCTCGGGAACGACGGTGAACGCTTGTTTTAATTGTAGAGTGATGAAGGCACAATCAGCACGAGACTCCTTTGATATGGTTCTCGCGCAGCATCTCCTGACGCTTGCGATATCCGGTGCGCTGCCAGCAGTGTAATGGACCGCGGTGGGTTTTGCTTGCACTGGCTCTACACCAATGACAATTAACTGCGCATCCTCATATTGCATTCGAAGCTATGAGACTGGTTTTCTGACATCTGCGACACAATGTCAGGTTCATTTATACCGTAATTTGACGGTTTGATCACACGCGTTATTGTGGATATACGAGGAGGCGCGTGAGAGATGGACCAATAATATGGACTGGGCAACGATAGATGCCGAAAGGTATGTCTGCTGCGAGTCCTCAGTGTATAAAAGCAAGTTTTAAATGCAGTGGTTGGGTTTATCTTATTTTATATCAACGTATATATAATAAAAACGTTGTTTATGATGGCGAACAGATGTTGTTTTTCATGTGTGTCCACGGCACAGTTGAAGACTTGTTTGTTCTATAAGCTGCAAAGGGTTAATGAACAAAATAATGACCACAACACCTCGCTGGACCATGTGTTTATTTGTATACTGTCATACTGATGAGTTTGGGTATTCTGTGTTTGTTGATGTGGGGTTCAGTGCTCTTTGACCTTTTTTGCTCTTTATGAATTAAGAATAATAAGGATAAGGATACTAATACCACTTATTATCAGGTGCTTGTCTTGGATGCTGAAACTGCTCCATTGAATAGGCATAAGAACGATGGGAGGAAGTGATGTGTAACCAAATGTTAGAGAAAGTAATATTAGGGCTCCCTTACTTTTTTGGACCATTACATGCACAAATGAATCCTGGCATGCTAGTTTTAGTCTGTATGTTCGCTTACAGTGGTGATTTTTGGCCCATCCCACTTCAGAGGTCTTCACCTTTTTGACAAAACTACTATTTAAAATCATAGAAATATCACAATTTTGACATATCTGCCCTCAAGTGCACCTGAGAAGCTCCTACTTACAATTTGGGCATTTGTTATTATTACAACAGATCATGCATTCAAGTTGTAAAAATAACACGTTATTTAGTTTACATTAATTTTTATATAATACTCAATATGACTTTGCTTGATGATTCATGTGCTCAGAACTCGTAAAATATGATATTTCCAACTCCACTTGAAAGCTGCAAAATATATTAATTTTTAATTATTTTTATTTTAATTATTAAATATTTGTTTAAAATTGAGATTCAGTTTAAACAATAAAACTTATTTTGCCTGTATTTAACTGCCATTTGAGACACAATTTGTCCTCATTATTGTGATGTAAGTGTTTGTGTATGTTCTGTTAGATTTTGAGGAGTAAACTACAGCTATTATAGGATATTACTAATGTTTGTAGTCACAATTTGTGTTCAGGCACATTCGTTTTCTTCTCAAAATTGGCAATAAATGCTACAGCATATGTGAGAGCAGCTGTTTGATGTTATCTCAATGTCATTTTACTTCTGTTAATATTTTCAGTGCTTGATGAGTAGGAATGTTAAAACGAATCTGATAATGGCTTTCTTAGCATTGCATCTGCTTCCTAATGGTTTTCTAATTGTAATTGACATAATATTATGTCTGCTTCTAATTCTACTGTCACAGATGGACGTGTAGCAAGGAATTGTAGGAGTTATACAACTTCATTAACAGCTTGTAATAAATGTGACAGAGTTAATTACGGAGTCCATCGCCTCCCTCCCCCTTACACACAGACGGATATATACAATGAAGTACATGTCCTGTTTCTAATCAGCCAGTGCAGGGATTGCCTTGGATTCATTCTACACATATGGCAACCCAGAATGTCCCTGTCAGTGCTGCAAATTCATTATATACAGGACATAGAAGCATGAACAATTCCACCAGTGAAATTATTAAATAATAATAGCTGTAGCCGGCCCTGTCTACATACCATGTAATGATTGGTAAATGTAACCATAACATGTGAGGTCATAGATGTCTTAATGCTTGAAAAAATTTCACTCACATTATGTTTCAAAAGATATTATGGGATAAAAGGGTGCCCTGTTGCTATATGTTTATGGTCTATAAAAATACGGGATGTAGTGATGTAATAGCTGTTAGGATCACCTGCTCTGAGGCAAAGTGCTCACTATGAAAGAATCCACTTTTCTGATATGAAATGGGCTGTTTGTGGTTTAGTTCTAGAGTCCTGTGTGACTTGTGGTTCTCCGTTAGTCGTACACCCAGCAGCTGGTCCTGGGCAGCTGTTCAAACACAGGGATTTCAGATTGAAGGGTGGGAACATAGTGCAGTCTCAGTGGTAATTACAGGGTCACCGTGGCTCCTGGGTTAGATACACTACCTCTTTCGCTGTTATTGGAAATATACTTAGGTTTAGAGTGATTCTTTCTGTACATTTCATATATTCTTTATCTATCTTAAGTTTTACTTTCTCCTTGAATGTCAAAGCATCTTTAATCGTTCTGTTGAACTGACGAGAAACCTCTCAGAGAGTCCAAACACAGTCACATGCTGGCTTGTCTTGAAAGAGTAATGCGTGCCATTTCCCAGGCCTGCAAGAAGACTAACAGCAGGCTTAATAAGGAATAAAATGTAGCTGATTATGAACACATGATGATGAACAGTTAGCAGGCTCTTCCAATGTCAATTATTTAACTGGGGGAAGATTTTGTAATTATGTAACATGCCCGAATGGCATTTCTCGCGCTGCTGTTGGTGTCAGTCTGTACCTTGGAAAAAAATGTGATATAACTGTTCTGAGAAGCTTCATTTAAAGGGGCAGTTCATTCAGAAATGAAAATGTTGTCATCTTTTATTAACCCTTGTATAATTCGGAATAAAAAATTAAAAAAAACAGACTTTCTGCTGCTCTTTCTTTGTAATGCAATTAGAGTGAATGGGGGCTGAAGCTTTCAAGTTTCAAAATAACCCTAAGCACCTTTTTGAAGTCCTAGTAACAGAGTGGAATTTAATTCATTATTCAAGCCATTATTTACTAATAAGTCTCTGCTCCAGTGAGCTGTTAAATGGAAAAAAGTACTATGGAAGTCAATGGCTACAATCAACTGTTTGGTTACCAGCAATCTTCAAAATATCTTCTTTTGTGTTCACCAGAAGAAAGAAACTCATACAGGTTTGGAACAAGTGTGTGAGTAAATGATGACAACTTTTTCTACTTGGGGTGAACTATCCCTTTAATAGCTGTGAATAAATCATTAAGCCATTAAGTTGAACTTGAAAATCATATCAGTCCGATTTCGAGAGCTAATCATTCAGATTGGTTTTGTAAATGGAATCATCCCATTCATTTAAAATATCCGACTCAAAATTATGATTCATTCATGAATTGGATATTGCTAGTTCTATCATGAACTCTTATGAATTCTGAGAATTATGATGGAAGTACAAATTTTCTGACAACATAACCTACATTTGGGCATGTTTCTCATTGTATGACTTCAGATGACTTTAAATATAGTTTCTAAAATAAAATGAAATATAAATGTTCGATGAAAAACTTGAATTAAAAAGACAAAAATTAGAAATGTTGCCGTAACATTTAAATAAAATAAAATAAAAAAATAAAATAATTATTAATTAAAAAATTACTAAAAAATTTAAATAAAACAAAGATAAGTAGAAATATTCTAAAAGTTATTAAAAAATATGAATCAATACTCTTATCGTATATAAATAATGCTACAATAAAAGTCATATATGGACCAGTTTTTTTATTTTGGTGCTTTTGTGTCCTTTTTGTAGCTTGAAAGTTTTAGTCCCTGTTCTTATTAATCGCATTTTAATTGTCTTCAAAAATGTCATTAGGAATTCAAATAGGTTTGGCAATACATGAGAATAAGTAAATAAATAATGACAACATTTTAATTTTTGGCTAAACTATCCCTTCAGAAGCAGTGTGTGTGTATTCTTTCTAACTTCCATAAAATGTCATGCTATATTAGTTAGGGATGCACGATATATCGGCCACCATATCGGTATCGGCCCATATCGGCTCATTTTTTCTGTTATCGGTATCGGCCAAAATTTTCATATCGGTGCATCCCTAATATTAGTAAATTTCTCAGTGAGACTGCATGTAGTATGAAAATGTGAATATTTCTCTGACTAAACTGTTAGACAACTCCGCCACTCCCCTGGAAAACATGTGATGCAATTTCCATTTTGGTCTCCTTGAGTTTAGTCACACACACTAGGGATTTTATAAATCATCACAGAGCAAGACAGAACCTCACAGTTATATCTGTGCTATATATATATTTATTTTTGTCTTTGTCTTTTACAGCTGACTTAACTTTCAAAGTCTTTTTGAACTTAGAAATGTCTGAATCCTCATCTTCAGCAGAAAGAGATAATCTTCTTAAATACTGTGTTTTACCTACTGACCTGTCTGAGCCTGTGTCCCTCTCTCATCGCCCCTCCTCTCAACTCATATAGACAGTAACAGCTAGGGGCAAATAGCCCATTTACAACTTAAAGGATGCTCCTCAAGCCTGGGCAGGAAGGCCCAATGTGGTTTGTAGTTTAAAACCACATGCACACACCCTCCTCCCCACTCATACTCTGAGAAACCTGTCTTTGAGCATGCACAAACAGATCATTCTTTCAGGGCAAGGCAGTGGTGCTCTGTGTGTGTACCCTCACCTCTGTGCTGTTTACCACTTACCAACCCTGTATGTGTGTTTCACTGACTGCTGGTCTGGCCTTGCCACGTCAGATGACCGTCTCCTGCTTGCCGTCCAGAGAGAAATAGCAACTTTGCCCTGCATATGTGTGTGTGTCTGTGTTTGGTTGGACTCCTGACCAGCCTGGTCTTTGGAAATGAAGATTTCTTCACTAAAACACTGGATTGAGATCAGAGTCACAGAAGAGAGTCTAGCTTTTTCCCTCTGTAGGAGCGGAGTTTGTTCCTGTGTGTTCTTTTTCAACTTTTGTGCGGTTTGGATGTCGCAAAGATGAGTGGATTTCTGTATCGTGGCAGGTAAGCTATTCACCTCTAACAGAGCAGGAAACATGTACTTCAGGAGAGAAGACAGCTTGCGTTCTGTTTTTGAGGAATTTGTTGTTGTATTACTGTGTGTTCCAACCATGTCTGTGGGATTTGTTTGGTGAGTTTGAATCCAGGCATAACTTGCAGTAATTTGAAAAATGTGGGAGTACAATGTCTGGTTTGCCTCATCGTAAGGCTGAAATCATTACATTGGTACATGCATGAGTAAATGAAGAACAGAAAGTTCTTTCAATGCTATTTATGTTTATGCAACTCTGAACGCATGGGAATGCTAAACTATGCCCCTCTGTGTATGCAATACCACTGTTTAAAGAGCATTCACATTTGAGCACACCATTTGTCAGTGTGGGGGAGTTGATTTCTCAGCTGACCACTAGCGTGATTATGAGTGACCTAGAGCAGGTGGCCATGACTCAGGGATCTTCTTGGCATCTGGAGCTATTGGGCATGTTTTGTCTATATGTGATGAAGTTGAATTGCAATGTTTCCTTCTCCATGGAAAATCTTACTGCAGTGGTGGCTGTTTACAGAAACAAAGAGGAAAGTTAGAAGCTCATTAGCATAGGCCCATCCCCCATGTTATGCACACCTTAGTGGGTGGATCGTGCTGACATGGTGAAGTTGTTGACACCCTCGGTCAGCTGTGCGTGGAAGACCATCTGTTTATATTCCTTTTGCTTGCTGAACTCCTCTGTCTATCACTCTCAGTGGGGCAATAATGCTATGGATGTTCATTGGCTTTTAGGAGACTCTGAGATCTTTTAAGTGGTTTGATATGGATCATGTAAATTAGGCAGCTGCTTCTTTGTCTCTCACATCAAAGTGAGGAAATTAAATGGCCCCATCTATCACACTATTGTCTGGCCAGTATTATTGTCTGAACCCGTTTATCTGATAGGTGTTAAGAGCTCATGTGTGACAGTCATCATCTAATGGGACTTCAGGAAGTAGTCGGGATGTATAGTTTAGTGGTGGTATTGAACATATGACAATAGGAAGATTAACTTAATGAATGAACATTCGCTGGGTGTGTGTTTTGTTTTCAAACCAAATCAGTAAGAATCCTTATTGCATTTGTTATTTCAAGTGGTAAATTGAAATGTTTGTTTTTCAAATAGATTTTAGTTTTCTGCTGTAATTAGATAAGTGATTCCCAAGCGGAGTTATCCATACCGCAGGGGGTACTTAAGCAGGTCACAGATTAAGATTGTTCCTTTCTTTGTTAAAACTTTAAACCAGTAAATGTAATCTGATTTGGTGTCAATAAAGCAGCACATTAACCTGATGGGGATACACTACCATTCAAAAGTATCATCAAAGAATCATGACATTTTTTTTGTTATTTTCAAAATATTTAGCAGCATAACTGGTTTCAACAGTGATAATAATACAAAATATATTTAAAAAAAAGTCTTGACCAGGGGCGCATGCACACTGCAATGTGAGTGCCTGGACATGGATTATTTTTGTTTCTTGCAACGGGATCCACTTTTTGTTTTTAATACAAAATATATATTGAGCACCAAATCAGAATTTTAGAATGATTTCTGAAGGATCAAGTGAAGACCGAAGTAATGACTGCTCAAAATTTAGCTTTGCCATCACAGGAAAAATATATATTTTAAAATATATAAAAATAGAAAGCAGTTATTTAAAATTATAATAATATTTCATAATATTACTGTTTTTACTGTGTTCTTGATCAAATAAATGCAGACTTGGTGAGCACTTCTTTCCAAAATATATAAAAAAATCTTACTGAGCCCAAATATGGTAGTAAACATGAGATAAAAGGGTTGAGAAACATTGATTTAGAATATACAACATTTTGCATTTACAGCATGTTGCTTCCAGACAAGCATCCATTTGTTAATGTCAAATTCAATTTACATCTTATTAGCTATTTAAAACTGCATTGCAGTCAGATGTTTGCGATATTTGAGACATGTGAGCATGAGAGAGCATCAACTTACTGTATTATCCTATTAGACTGTCACTTACTTAAAGCCATTAACTGATGCAGCAACAAACAGCTGATTCTTAGCTGTCTCATAAAAACAGTGTGATGTCATATGAAAACTGCGGAAAATATTAAGCAGCACAACTGTTTTCAACACTGATAATAATTTGTGTTGTGATCAGCAAATGAGCATATTAGAATGATTTCTGAATGATTATGTTACACTGAAGACTGGAATAATAGCTGTTGAAAATTCAGCTCTGTGTCAGCTCTTATTATAATTGCATTACTATAATTATCATTGTGTTACTGAGAAGCCCAAAGAATATTTGTTTATTAGTACAACTGACTGTGCTGTCCCAACAGATACTAACATTGCAGTCTAGTTTTACATCATATTGTCTGTTTGATAAGAGACATTTTTTCTTTATCGTTTTGTGTAAGATGGCATAAAAAACTAGACTATTTGTCATCTCTTACAAATGTGAAGCAGATGGCAGGTTACAGACATGCAGACCAAATCAGGCAGTAAAAATGATCAGGTGTTCTGTCATCACTCAGTTAACATGAAATGAGTCTTTAGCATGGAAACTCTGAAAAGGTTTGTGAAATAGAAATATATTTGGCATTTTAACCCTTATCAATAATGCCAGAGACAGAAGTGTAACAAACTAGACTGTCATTGTTTACCAGGAAAATTACTTGCACAACTTTCACAAGCCTGCTTCTTTAAATATGCCTGGAGCCTAAAAACAGTTTTTTGTTCAAATATGGACCTTACCTAATATGGTATGTTCAACAGAAACAGATTAAACTTGTACAAGAGGGCAAATGTTAATCTTTTCTCATATTTTTCAGACACTATAATGGACATAAAGCGGCCCGGCCCAAGAGCATGATCAACATGGGCGGTAAGTATATAATTTCACTGTAGATCTTCCATTTTACACTAAAGATTTAAATGTGCAGTTATTTTTAATGCTATGTCACAACACAGTTGTACTACTACTTCATGACGTGCTTAAAGGAACAGTTCACCCAAAAATAAACATTGTCACTCGCCCTCATGTTGTTCCAAACCTGTATAATTCTGTTGAATGGAAAATAAGTTATTTTGAAGAAGAAAAAAATCATACAGGTTTAGAACAACTTGAAGGTGAATAAATGATGAATTTTCTTTTTTGGATGAACTATCCCTCTTACCTCTTTCCCACTGTAAAATCACTGACTTTTTAATAGCCTAAGCCCAAATTTGACCAAAACAACTTGTTTAATCATAAACCTGAGTTTGCAAAACACCGTGACAGTGACATTCTGAAAAAAAATGGAGAAAACCTTTATGCTTTGGAGAAAAACATAAAGATAATGACTTGATTATGTTTAAGTTAAAGTTCCACAAAACCTTGCTGTGAGCATATTTGACATTTCTCTGGCACAGTAAATGTGTGCTACAGCAGGACTGTGCCATGCACTCATCTCCAATACACCCCCAGGCACATGTCCAATACACATCACTGGCACATATTAAATAAAAGTCCTTTAATAAGCGTTAATGAGGTCATGCCATGGTTTTAAAGAACTGCAAGAAGATTGGGCCTTGCCAGTGTTTCTGTGATTATGCCCTGTGGGGACTCTCCTCTTCTCATGCTGGGAAACAACACTTAATTTTAGCCCTGTTCCTGGAATTTTTCTACTGACTTTTGTCTGTAATGGTTTGGCAGAGTTATGCTCTTATGTATGTGGATGTTTGTGTAGGGACAGATATGTGTGAGCACATTAATAATAAAAATATAATGTAATAATATTGTAATATATTATTAGAATTAAATGTATATTTGCCTTTAATGCTGACATTGCAATAAAATAAACAAATAATATATGTAATAATAATAATAATAATAACATTAATAAAATATAACTTAATAATAATCATTTATAGAATTTTTTTATTTTTTATAAATAAAATGTTATATTAATTGTTTGAGTCTGGCCTGCAGCATACCATGTCTCCCTGTTTCCTCCTAAATAAAATAAAATAAAAACAAAATAAAATAATATATTTTATAATATATAATATATTATAATTCTTTATAATATAATAGATTTTTTTTGCCATGAATATAGACTTTCAATGCTGACATGGTAATAAAATAAATAATATTTTTGTAATAAAAAATGTATTATCATTATTAAAAATAAATAAATATTATAACAAAATGTCTGTTTTTATAAATAAATTATTATATCTCCAAAATTATATATTTTAGGTATAATATCTCCTGGCCCGCAAGAATCCAATTTCCCTCTTTCCCCCCGAAACCTGTCTGTTTACTACTAACTTATTAATAATGCAAAAATCTCCTGAAAGTATTTTTTTTTTCAATAAAGATTCTAACTGTTGGTTGTATTTTAACAGATTCCTCCAGTGCTGATGCAGAGAAGAGCTCTGTTCTGCAGATGCATAGCCTGAAAGAGTTTGAGCAGGTAGGTGCTTTCTTTCGTCTCCCTTAAAACTAGCGTTTGCATGCAACTGCAAGCCTGTGAAAGCCATTTGTCAGGCCTCTGAGTGGTTTTTCACAGTGTTGAGAATGTGGATCTTTGACGTTTACCTGCAGATACGGTGATCAAGTAAACTAGTTGGAGGTCTTACTTAAAACACAGATGTAAATATTATACTTAGTTTTTTAGCGTAATCAGAACCATCCTCTTGTTGCGTAGCTAATCACTCCTTGTACCAGTTCTGACATGTTAATATGCCATCAAGCTGTCCTAGTTCATTTTGGGAATGCCTGATTGTGAACAACATCACTATTGACATGTTCTTTCAGCTCGTTGTCCTGTCTAATCAGATTTGTCCAGTAAACACAATGGAATCCATCGAGAGTCCCAACAACTACATGTGTATGTGCACAGCCGAGTAAAGCCGGTTTTTGCAGTGTTTTTTAATGTGATTTCCATAAAACACACTCTGGAGCAGAGCAGGATCTGGAATGTCTGGTGTACACACGCTGCTGTGGTTTATCTGTATGCGAAATTCTTTCTGGGAAGGGAGCCAGCGTATTATGGCTGTGATATAACTTCAGCCTGGCTACCTTCAATTACGAGATGCCTTTGTGAAAGTTTTGTGAAGAACATGCATGAAGACACCAAAGAATAAGATCACAATTCACCGATAAGAATATAAGAAGACATATCAGTACTTCATAACAAAATGCTTGTCAAAAATTTTAAGTTGTCTTAGCTGTTGTTTATGACCCACTTAATTCGGATCTGAGTTACTCAGATTTATCCGCAGCTTAATTTTCATAAATCTGCGTATTCACTGCTTTGTAATGAAGAAATCTCATCTGATGCCCCTCAAAGCTGCTGTAGTTGAAACTAGGCTTTAATATTGTTTTTTATGACTGGGGGAAAATGTAAAATCTTTAAAACCTATGATATAATATTTTTTATATATTATATTCATAAAATAAATATTTTGGAAATGCAACATTAATATATTCTGTAATGTTTTTATGTAAACGTTAAAATATAATTTTAAATGAATTTCTTAATTTATTCTTTGTTCGTTATTCCCGATTCTTAATTTTAATTGTTTATTAATCTTGATTCTTAAAATCCCAAGATCTTTTATGCTATCCCCCTGTTAGTGGCTACATGGTAATGTGAACACTGTAGTTTAATTTACAAAGAAATACCTCTTATCAGCTAGTTCTTTTCAGCGAATCAAAAACATAAAGCACATTATATTCAAATGAATCAGAATCTGATCAAAATGAAATCGGAATTGAATTGAATCAGGTCATCTGTGTTGATACCTATTTGTAATCTTTTAGCTTTTCACTGGTGCATTTTTGCTAATGTTGTCTAATAGTGTGGTGCATTTGTGTCTTATTTGTGTTGAACCTTTGCGTGTATGTGAGATGTAAATGAGTAGTAGTGATCGTTTCTCCATGGATGAAACATTCATGCTATTGAACACAGTCTGCCTCTAGCCTGTATTCCACAGATCTGTCAGTTGGAAGAGCCGATCGTTTCCACACTAGCTTGAAATACGAATCTGCCAAAATATAATTTGTAACTGTCAAACATCTTGGTGGGTGAGATTGGAAGGTAGAAGAGTTAAATGTAAGGAAAAAAATCAAAATACACTTCTTCAAATAGCCCTTCTTGCTGCATTTCAGAAATTGAAAGCATATGGTTGCCTGTTATTTGTACCGACCACAAAGGCCATTTACATTGATATAAAAAGATGGCTTGTGCACTATTAAAACCTCAGTACAAATCACAGTTGCTAATCTGTTATTTTGCCCTTATTTTGAAGACTTGGCAGGAGTGTGGAGATTTTTGACAGGTTCTGTCAAGACCTAATCATTGTGGCCTGGCGCTCCGTATACCTTTCAGCAAGTAGTTGCCAAAATTCAGAAAGCAATGGACAACAAGAGCTGGTTCTGTCTTTCTGGAGCTTCTGAGTTTTTTGCAGCACTCCTTCATTTAGTTTTTAATTTAGATACAAAACAGGTCAAAATTTTCAATTCATGCTTTTTTGCTCTTCATGTCTGATACATGTCACAAAGGCAAAATGACTAAGGGTTTAACTGCTAATTCTTACTGAAACAAGCCCAGCAGAGGGAATACACAAAATGATGGAAATAAATGTTATAAACTGAGGCACATGGTGTATTCAAGTGCATTTTTAGCTTTTTAGGGAATCGTTTCAGTATTATGACCAACCATGCTGGATATCATAGCCTCCTGGTTCATATCTGCTTAGTCAGAACTGGTATAATCTCTTACATGTGGCCTTTCTCTCCTGATCTGTACAAATGGAAAGCTATCTTTTGATTTTGTTTTTCCTTCTTTCTCTCATCTCACTCAAATTCATCTGGATTGTTGGGTTATTATTCTCTGACATGAGCGTGATATTTGATACAGTCAGTCTAAATTGCTTTCGTTTTAAATATAGAAGTTATATAGAATGGGGATGGAGGAGTCGGTTGGAAACGTTTAAGATTATGGATCTTGTGTGGGAGGTTTTTTGTTAGACTTTTGGCTGTGGAAAGCGCATGTAGTCCCATGAGTGTCTTGCACTGCCCTCTACTGGTTTGTTTTACAACAGCATATATTTGATTCACCCCCTGACCCCATTTCCTCTTCCTTTCCCCCCACACTCTCACTGATCAGCACTATCAAGCATACAGTGAGAGAACCGAGGCCAGACAGCTTAATTCGAGCCAGATCTAGTAAATCAGTTGTCCGCATCAGAGGGACAGAGCCATCATACTGTGTAAATTATGGAGACAGTCATGGTTGATGATGATAACGTAGTGTTGGATCTAATCTGCACCATGTCTGTCTACAGATTGGACGCACCATGTTAATTTACTGAGGGTTTTCTACTGTATTATTCCTCACAGATCACCCCTATATGTTGTGTATTTGGTTGCATTGTGAAGTATTGTGAAAAGAATGCAGTAGCCACTATAGATGTGATGCAAGAAAGAAATTGGGAATCTTGGCAGTAGGGCTGTAGTCTGATACGATACCAAATCGAAAATAAACTAATATGTGTAACAATAACACACTTTCTGCTCAAACAGCCATTCACATTTTTTGCATTCACTATGGTGTTTATGAAACAACGTCACAATGCCACATAAAAAAAATAAATACATTTTTACATTGGACCAAACCATGCCAGCAGGTAACTAGGTATTGACTGAAAAGGTTTTCATTCTTTATCATTCTTTATGTTTGTGTGTTTTTGCACTTTTTGAAAGGCATACATGTTTACTTTATACATTTTTATTGTGTTTGAATATTAAAAGGTTATTTTTGTTATTTGTAAAAAGTTATACTTTATATCTTTATATATCATTTTTTACTAGCTTTTGTACTGTAATTCAAGACTATAATAAATAGCTATGATAAATAAATAGCTTCAGCAATTCTCATTATTTGAAATTTTGATACTGTCACATGCTAATTAAGTACCTTAAAAAGATTAAAGCATTATTAACTTTATGTGAATCTTTGATCTGTTGATGAAAAATGCCAACACATAACTGAGACAATGTTAATTTATTTGAGAAATACTCAAAGCCTTAATTGAATTTGTTATATTATCAATTACCTTCTTTTTTAGGTAATTTAAAATGTAAATTTTTTTGTTATGGTATCAAATTTTAGTTTTAGTATATATATACAAATTTTAGTAGATATTTTAGTATTTTGACAAGCCTGATCTGCAGTAAAATGTCTGAGACCACATTAAAAATACAGGATTCAAAATCTAATTTAAAGCTGTAAGCAAACAGAAGTTTTAAGTTTTAGAAAATAAATTTGTGGCTTTGACCATGTGAATTTCTTTAATGTAGGACAAATGAAATATTAAGAAATTCTAAATTAATTGACGTCTTTATTTTTATATAAAAAATTTAATTTGCTGAATATGCTAATAATATAATACAATAAAAAAATAAGTGTTTTTATTGTATGAAATTAGAAAATTCATATTAGAAGCATTTTCACTGTAATGGTCTCATACTTTTGGATCCAACTGTATGTTCAAAGCAGCCTGATTTCTGGCTTCAGATTTCAAACCTGAGCTGTAAAATCATCTCTATTTCGAGCTATATGCACATTATTCAAATATTGAATATTGTGTGTATTTCCCAGAGGAAGTGTGTGTCACGGCCTCTGTTTTGCGTTTATAGGTATATGAGAGTGTGCGATTCATTTTAAATTCGTAAGCCATCCCCTGTCTCCATTTCAATATTTTTATTATTTCATTATTCCTTGAGGCCATATGAGACCAATTACAAACAAAATATGCAGGGAGGAGCAAAAGCCATATTTTTATGAATTGCTTCAGCACTTAGTGGAAGACCTAATGCCGCAATTATTGTACAATAAAGCAAAGACTGAGGTCAAAGAACCAGCCAACCAAATTATACTCAGTAAATCTTGACAGTCGCTGGCCAAATTGCATGGCAGACCTGGATTTAAAAAATGAAGAAACATTCAAATTTACAGATTTAATGAGACCTCAGATGATAAATAAGCTGCGGTCGGATTCCTGAATGATAGAAAGATCGTCTGAGTCTTTTTTCCCTATTCAAAAAAGGTTTTAAATCATGAAGAAAAATGTTCTAAATTAAATGTAACCTGTCTTTTGTGTATGCCTGCACTCATATATCAATGTAGTGAGTCACTGTGTAATAGGAGCGAGTAGGTCAGGCCTGTGACACATAACTCTGTGCTCTGACCCACTGACTACCTTTGGATCTCTTCTACAAAGTAAAAGTATACAGCAATCACAAAGAAAAATGTGATTAGAGACAATCTCTTTCATGTATTTCTTCTCAGGGCTTTTTTTGAATGATAACTTCTTTCACTTCTTCAGAAAATTTGCAATTGGTTATTGTAAACATCAGTGGAGCGCACAGACCTCCAGAGGGCCAGGGGAGAAATGGCGGTACGAG